AGATAGATAGATAGATAGATAGATAGATAGATAGATAGATAGATAGATAGATAGATAGATGGTTGGATGGATGGATAATCATCTTGTCCCATGCCTGGCTCATAGGGGGTACTTGATATTATTTTATCTCCTCTCTAGTCCCTTCTTCGGAAGGAGAAAAAGGCAGCCCTCTGCCTCACACCTCTCTACTGGCGGGGTGTTCTGAATGACCTGAGGACTCCTGACTGGCTTCACCCATGTGGGCTGAGGCTCCATTTTCTAAAACTTGGGAGAGGAAAGGAAGTAAAGAGGGTGGGCTATAATCCTGTCTATTTAAATGATTAACATTTTTCTCTCGGGATATCAGAATTTGCATTTAAATGGATGTTTTAAATGGCCTGTTTTACTCTTTATTTGCCAAAAAAAAAAAAAAGATGAAAGACAAAGTGTGTTTTGTTCTGAAGAAAAATGATCTCTCCTGGCTTTTAGAGGAATTAAGTTGCATATTATGCCCCTTCCTTAAAGGTATCTCTGTCCATCCTGCGTAGATAATTGAAAATCTTGCCGCTGAAATGGCATGAAAAATGGAGAAAGCAGAGAAGAGGCGTAATGGTGTGGGTCGCAACAATAATTAGAAATTTCAAGGCGGGAGAGCGGTATTTTAGTGCGAGTTATTGTGTGTCGGGAAAATACTAATTAAATGGGATAAATGGTAGTTAATGGTAAAATTCCATTCAGGCACATGATCTGTCTGGTTTTAATGGATTTTCATTCGGTTTGGCAATGAGTCCCCCTTCTATATTGTTTGATCAGCTCTTTTATGTATTTTCAGATTTGCAGTTCTTTAAATCATTCCTGGCTCCATTTGAAATGTATGAAACTTTTCTTGGTGTTACACGTTCTTAAAAAGAATTGTATCTATTTTGTCTGAGGAAATAACAAGGGCCAGTAAAGTTAGTTTGAGGAACTTTGAGAAATGGAAAGAGATGCCACGAGAATCCTAAAAGTGGCGGAAATGTTATTACTTCTTCTGGAATTAATGTTTTAGGTTTAATTGAGTTTCATTGAAAATTCCTATTTACTTCTTTAAGCATTGGCCAAATGATTGTAACGCTGATCTGGAAGCAGAAACACGAGAATAGATAAGAAAATGTTTTCAAAAGAAAAAGGAGAAAAGACTAGTTTGACCAGATAGCAGAACATGGCACAAAGCTACAGCAATGAAATAGTGTGGTATATAGGAATGCACCTGTTGGGAGAAAAAGTGAAGGCACCTAAACTAAACGTATTTCTATGTAAGAGTGTAATTATTATAAAGAAGTTACTTTTAAAAATCAGTGGGAGGGTGTCTGACTCTTAATTTCGGCTCAGGTCATGATCTCAGGGTCGTGAGATCGAGCCCCACGTCGGGCTCTGCACTGAGCGTGGAGCCTGCTTGAGATTCTCTCTCTCCCTCTCCCCCTCCCCCCACCCCTGCTCATGCTCTCTCTAATAAAATAAAATAAATAAAAATGAGTGGGAATTGGGCACCTGGGTGTCTCAGTTGGTTAAGCGACTGCCTTCGACTCAGGTCATGATCCTGAAGTCCCGGGTTCGAGTCCCGCATCGGGCTCCCTGCTGAGCAGGGAGTCTGCTTCTCCCTCTGACCCTCCCCCCTCTCATGCTCTCTCTATCTCATTCTGTCTCTCAAATAAATAAATAAAATATTTTTTTAAAAAATCAGTGGGAATTATCTCCTGATTGACTATGAGACACTTGTCTACCCCTTGCTTCAAAAGTAATTTGTATGTGGTCTTTACCATATGTTATATACCAAGAGAAGTTCCAAATGAATTAATAGTTGTAAATTCTTAAAATCAAATTTTAAAAGAGTTGCCTCCTGCCGGTTTTTGGAGTCTTGAATTTTAAACGGTGAGTATAAAGGTCCTGGGGCATAAAATGGGAACCTTCTTAGGATCAGATCTTCAGGAAGTGCCGCTGCCTTTAGGAGTCTAACTTGATGCCCTTGGCAGGCTGGGAAGAATGACCTGTTTTCTTCAGGGGGAAGCAGAGGTATACAGCGAAGCCAGCTTGTTCATGTCAGTTGCCAGAGAGCAAAGGTGCAGCAGTTCTGTTCGCCCCAGTCTGCAAGCAAGGGCCGGGGGCCCACACCTCTACAGACACCCAAGCTCGGGTCCCTGAACAGAGGGCACCCAGTGGTTTCATAATGGGAGCCAAGGCAGGGAGGCTTTGTTGAATGCAGGAGGTGCTCACCGGCAGTCGGCTTTGAGCACCTGCTTGCTGCGTGCGTGCCCTGCCCTGGGCTGGCACGGGGAGACAGTGCTTGACAAGGCGGATGTGGTCCCTGCCCTCTGGAGCTTGTGGTCTAGTGAGTGTGATAACAGCTAACAGCTAATCCTACGGACAGCTAGTTAGTCATAATAGAGTTTGGGGGTGCTTTAAGAGCACATCATGAAGAGTGGAAATTAGACTGAGGAATCAGGGAATACCTCCCTGAGGAGGTGACCTGTTCGCCATGCTAAGAAGGATGCCCAAGCTCAGAGTGATCCAGACAGGACTAGCCTTGCAAGGCGAGGACCCTAGTGGGGAACACTGAGAGCCCCCTGGCCTGGCTGAGGGGCCAGGTTCCCGTAGGGCCTGTGTGAGGAGGAGTGCTGGGCTCAGAGCCTCCAGGATGGGCTCTGCCCCCGGCTGGTGGTAGGCAAACCCACGTGGTCCGTGCGTTTCTCCAGGTGCCATCCTGTTGGCTCCTGTTTATTGAGGGAGGGATATGTGATGAATGGCGGGTGCTTACTCCTCTGCCCCCGCTTTTTCCCTATCTCTCATGGTTGAAGTCATGACTTCTCTGAGCTGCAGTAAAGAAGTAATTGTTGGTTAAAAATGTTGTGGTGAATCTGTTAGTCCTTGAGTGAGAACCTCCCCCTCCCCCTCCCACTGACACCCCTGCTGCTTAAGGCTTTTGCCTTTGGCCCATGTAGCTCTGTTGAGACTGCCACCAGGCAGAACCCCCAGACCTCAGCCAGCCCCACTCATATCACAGAGGCTTTCCTCCTCCTCTGGTCAAGCAGAGAGCCCTTGAGATGGAATTGATGGTGTCAGGCCAGCTTCCCCCAAGGTAGGGGCTGTGTAAGCCAGTGGGTTGGGACTTCAGGACCAGGGGATCTGGATTCCTCGCCCCCTGAGCTGCATGACTTGGGACAAGTGCCAACAGCTCTGTCCTTCAGTTACCCCATCCTTAGAGAGGGATGTGGGACACTCTCACTTCATGGGGCTGTTGAGGATCAATGAAACCATCTTGTGCCTCGCCAGCGCTGTATTTCGTCAAATCCAAGGTGCTGTGGGTGGTGAAATGCATCTTTGTACAAACATTCAGAAAGAAAAATACAGATGCTGTTAATTAAACTGGACCAAGGCTTTCTTACAACAATGACTTGTGAGATAGAGCTCCTTTCAGAGACATTAAGATGTGAAAAAAGTGTATGTCTTCTGATCAACAAAACACAGTAGGATATACTCAAACTGGGAGCTCTTCTTAGTAAAGCCGTGGGGAGCCCGAGGCATTCCCACCCGAGCAAGTGCCCAACACCCTTCCATGGGGCATCCCTTCCTGCCAGCGGCCAGGAACACAGCCGGACCTGCAGGTGTGGCTTGCACTGTGGCATCTGCCGCCTTCTCCGTTGAGACCCCTAGGCCAAGGAGTTGGATCATCTTTGAGTTTCTGTGATCTGTGCGCTGGGCTCCAGGCCTCATCAGCCGCCGGGCCTCCTGAGTCCCCAGCCACGGTGGTGAGGTCCTTCAGGCACCTGCTGAGACGGGCCTCCTGAGAGCTCCCAAAATATGCCCCCAGCCAGGAACCAGTTCAGCCCGAGGTCCAGGCAGAGAAGGGGTGAAGCGGGCACAGCACCCAGGGAACCCAACACACAGTCTCAAGGCCTGGCTGGCCTCTCACCTCCTCAGCCACACTGGAGACTCCTGACGCTGCCCTCGGCTTCTCCCATTGGCCGAGCCTGGCATCCTGGGCCTCTAGATACTCTGGGCGAGTAGAGTGCCATCTGCTATGTTGAGACCGAAGCCCTTGCTTCTTGCTTCTTCCCTCTAAAATGGTCGCACTGAGCAGCATCTGATCCTTTCCTAGGTTGGGGATGGCCTCACATGTCCCCCACAAGTCACCTAGGTCACCCCGTCCGTGGTGCATATCTGTCCTGGAATCGCCACCATCACCCGTCACCTGTCCATGTCATCACCGCTGTCATCATCAGCCACAGTTTGGTTGATGAACTCGGCGCAGAACAACGTTTGTTAAAAGTTCATTAATGAAATAAAGGTTTAGTGCTGTAAATTTTTGTTGTCGGAAGAGCAGAAAAATGTCTAACACTTGGACAGGTTTTTCGAAGTGAGACTATAC